ATCCTTTAGAGAAGATACATTCCCTTCTTAGAAGGTAGGCTCTGTGAGATCATGGGCTGTCTGGCTTTTTGTATTTGTACACATCACAGTGCTTGGCACACAGTAAGTGCTTAATAAATGCTCATTCATTCCTTCACATTTCCCTGTCCAATAGTCATAGAGTTGATTTGCTGAACAAACTCTAAATGTGAAAACTAGACAACCACTTGTTTTTCATTTTGTTTTGTCTCTCCCAGGCTAGAAGTTGTCAGCATAGCAATCTGGACCCCTTAACATTCTTTAACAAAGTGTAAGGACCACTTGTGGACCAGCTCCCACTACTGGTCAACACAGAAGCTTTGACTTGCTCCATTTCCAGCCTGGGCCAGTTTGCGCCTCCTTAAGCAGCCAGGTGACATCCACCTCCCCAATGCACCCCCCCATGCTCCTATGGGCTCACCACATCGGTGCTGGACCTGATCAGCAGGACCCAGTGCAGGCTGGAACATCCAAGCTCAAGACCCCCCTCCAGCATCAGCCTCTGGGCAGCCAGGATTAGGGCCATGTTCCATCACTCCCTGCATGGCCAGCCATTTGTAGGGTGTGTTACAGTGGGGATTCTTCTCATTTATAACAAATAACCATGTATGCTCAAGAGGTATACAGACTAAACAGAAGGGATCCTTGGAGGAGGGAGGGAGGAAGGGGGAGAGAGGCGACCAGGGAAAACCTCCTGCTGAAGGTTAGATCTGAGCTGCATCTGATGGAAGCTGAAAAGGTCCAGGCTGAGAGTAGAATCCAGGACTCCTGACTTCCAGTCACTACTCAGAGTAAGATCAGTCCGTCAATCAGAAAACATTTATGAAGCCCCTAGGATATGCCAGGCACTGTGCTTGGCACTGGGAAGCACATGGGATAGGCTTTCCAGGACAGAAATGGCAGCGCTCCTCTCCTTTCTGGTTCACAGTGGTCCTTAATTTCAAACTGATGGATATAAATGGTTGCACCCACACACGATGAATACCAGGGTGTTCCTGGAGGCTTGTGGCATCCATCTATTGTTCTTAGGAAGTAGCATAAGGCTGGATTTGCCCAGGCAATAAAGTCGCTGGCAGCCTCAGGTGGCCCAGTTTGGTCACCACTGGGAGAAAGGAGGAGAGAGGGGACGAGGAGTCGGGGGGTAGGGAAGGTGTGCAGTTGTTCATGCCCATTCCCAGGGCCTTGCAGGGAGTAGGAATCCAAATACATGTGATAATGAAGCTAAGAATGGCAATTGGCAATGCCTTGCAAAATCCCAGAATCCTTACGTAATCCTCAAGTCGCCTCACAATCAGGTCGCTGTCCTTGGGATGCCCTCCAGGTTATGAATGCCCTTCCTAAAATGAGGCACTCAGAACTGACCAGGGTGCCCCCATCGTACACAATTCTTGTATAGGACCCTGCCTCCTTTCTGCTTCTCCTTTCAGTATGTAGTGGATAGAGCTCTGGGGCTGGAGTCAGGAAGACCTGAGTTCAAAGCCAGTTTCAGGTACTTATTAGCTGTGTGGCCCTGGGCAAGTCACTTAACCTTGGTCTGTCTCAGTTTCCTCATCTCTAAAATGGAGATGATAATAATAGCACTTACCTCCCAGAGTTGTTGGAAGGAATAAATGAGATAATATCTATAAAGTGCCTAGTACAGTGCCTGGCACATAGCATGCACTATATAAATGTTAACTATTATTATTTTTTCTTCATTGTTCGGTGGATAGAGTGCTGGGCCTGGAATCAGGAAAACCTGAGTTCAAATCTGGCCTTAGACACTTATCAGCTATGTGACCCTGGGCGATTCATTTAAACTTGATCTGCCTCAGTTTCCTGATCAGAAAATGAGGATAATAATAGCAAGATTATTGTCAGCATACAATGAGGTCATATTCTAAAGTTCTTTGCAAACCTCAGAGTTGTTGTTGTTCGATCATTTCAGTTATGTCCAACTCTTCATGACCCTACTTGGGGTTTTCTTGGCAAAGATACTGAAGTGCTTGGCCATTTCCTTCTCCAGCTCATTTTACAGATAAGGAAATTGAGGCAAATAGGGTTAAGTGACTTGCCCAGGGTCACACAGTTAGTAAGTGTCTGAGGCTGGATTTGAACTCAGGTTTTCCTGACTCCAGCCCCAGAGCTCAATCCACCATGTGCCACCTAGCTCCCCTATAACCTTAGAGTATATATTGCTTATTATTGCTATTATTACTACTGCATCTGCCTTGGGCTCCCATCTGCAGCAATGTCTTGTGTTCTAGCGGTGACTTCCACCTCCCACTGACCTCTGTTCCCTTCAGTTTTCCCTCCACTGGCTAATAGTGGGAAAGAAGCCTAGAATGAGGCACACACGTTATTGGAAAGGACTTCTCCTGCCATCTTGTCTGCCCCCTTGCCCGAGCAGGAATCCTCCGGCTTCATCATTTCTCAGTGGTGCCAGCTCTCTTTCTCAATGACTCCTCCATGCCAGGCCATTGACGTAGGTCCTGGGAGCTGGGGCCAGGGTGGAGGGCAGGTGGCTGCTGCTGCTGGATTTTGTAGGCGTCTCTGAAGTGTCCCCTCTGGGCCCTCTGCAGGAGCACACAGGAGCCCTGTGACTGCCCACAGATCTTTCCTTCTTAGCCCCTCCACATCATCATGGGCCTCTCCCACACTGAGGACAGCTAGTTCAACTCTTCATTTTGCAGAGGAAGAAACTGAGTCCCAGAGGGGCCAAGGCATTTTCCCACAGCTTCCAAGAGGCAGCTGGAATTCTTGTTTGATGTCTGAATCATGGCCTAGAAGGTGACCAAGCCCCTCATTCGGTTCTCTGATCACAGAAGGTCTCAGCATTGGATTCAGATCCAACCTCTACCTTTAGGGAGGCTGCTGGGCAGTATCCAGAGGAAGGGGGCCAGGAGAGAGAACAGTCTCAGTTACGGAGCCTAGCCAGCTGCTCAGATCTGGGGTAGAACTGGGGGGAGGGGTCACTTGGGAGCTTGGGGTCACTAGGGAGCACCATAGGTGGAGCACTGCCTGAGACACTAACTGCGTCACTTAACTGTCTGTCTGCCTCAGTTTCCTCATCCATAAAATGGGGATAACTTCTTTAGCGCCTCTATCACGGTTGTTGTGGGGATCAAATGAGGAAATACAAAATACTTTTCCAACTCCAACATGCTATGGAAATGCCAGCTGCTATTATTATTACTATTATTGTTACTATTATAATTAGGAAGGGATTTAGTAAGCCTGCTATGTTCCATGCACTGTGCTAAGCACCTTACAAAAATAGTCTCATTTGATTTTTCACCACAAGCCCGGGCAGCAGGTACTGTTATTATTCCCATTTTACAGGTGAGGAAACTGAGACAAACAGAGTTAAGTGACTTGCCTAGGGTTACACAGCTGGGGCTGTGTCTGGGGCTAGATTTGAACTTAGGTCCTCTTGACTCCAGGCTCAATGCTCAGTTCACTGTGCCACCTAGCTGTGTAGTTACAGTAGCAGCAGCAGCAACAGCAGTGACAATAGCACTGGCAATAGCAGTAGCAACAGTAGCAGTAATAATAGTAGCAGCAGTAATAGTAGTAGTAGTAGCAGCAGCAGTAACTAATACTAGCAGCAGCAGTAACTAATACTAGCAGCAGCAGGGGCAGCTAGGTGGCACAGTGGATAGAGCACTGGTCCTGGAGTGAGGAGGACCTGAGTTCAAATCTGGCCTCAGACCAAACACTTGCTGTGGGATCCTGGGCAAGTCACTTAACCCCAACTGCCTAAAAAAAAAATAGTGGCAGCAGCAGTAACAGTAATAGTAGTAGCAGCAATAATAGTAGCTGTAGCAGCAGCAGCACCCACAAGCCAAATCTCCCTTCTTAGTCCTCCCTGGCATCCTTGACTATTGGACTCCTTAAGGCGCAGTGCACACAGGTTGTCCAGGGGGACTTTTCACTTCCTTCTCTGTCTGCCTTCTATGCAGCCAGCCCCACACCCCATCCTCTCATCCCCGAGGTGGCTGAGCTCTTAGAGAGGGCTGCCCGGAGCTAGAACCTCCCCAAACTGGTTCCTCAAGGAGCTGAGCACCCAGTGTTCTGTTCTGCTTCAGGCCAGCCCTACATCCCCCAGGATAGTGCATGAAGTTGTTTCATACATCAGGAAGGGTAAATTAGAACAGAAAAAGGGAACAAATAGAACCCTCTGTGATCCACGCAGAAGGCACCTAAAGCAGCCAGCTCTTTCTGGTTGCAGGATGGGAATTCCTGTGTAAATCTGGGGGAAGCCAATCCCAGGCACCCTCAGCATTTTCCAGTATCGTTTTTGGATACAGACATCAGTAGGAAACGTGTCACCCCCCACGTTTCTCCACCTCCCTCAGAATGGAAGCTGAGCTAATGCTCCCAAACCCAACACCCCTTTCCTTTCCACCTTCTCTTTCCCGGCCCCTCCCACACACAGGCTCCCAGGGTTTCTCCTCCCGACATCTGGTGTTGTGCATCCTGGGCCTGCCAGGACTCTCAGCAGGGTCACACAAGGGGAAGTTGAAAGAGCTGGCCATGTTCGGCCAAGAGAAGTGATGATTAAGGGGATATGCGATACCTGGGTTCAGCCGTTTGAAAGGCCGTTGTGGAGACCGCACTTGTTTGACTCGGCCCTAGAAGCTGGAACTAAGGGTTGCAGTGTGGCAAATTTTGTCTTGATAGAAGGGGAAGAAAAAAAACAACCTCCTGACATGAAGAGCCTATCACTGGCCATAAAGGGGATGCTTCTACAGATAGTGAGTTCCCCATCACTGGAGGTATTCAAGGAAAGGCTGGCTGACCATTTGCTAGGGATTTTGTAAAGGGCTTGTGGTTTAGGTATAAGTATCCTCAGACGGCCTCTGAAGTCAACGAGTTCATCTTCGTGTCAAGTTGGATAAACAAGAATGGTCAAACTAGCTGGTCAATTGGTTGACTGAGTTGACTTGTCATAGCTAGTCTCATCAGGAATTCCCAAAGGCAATAATTCAACCCAACAAACATTCATTAAAGACTTACTATGTGCAAGATAGCATAGTAGGTACTAGCCAAAGCCAAAAGCAAAACTGATCCTGACTTCGAGAGCCTATATTGGCTCATGCTTCTATGGTGACCCTCAATATATGCCGATTACCCTATGGATATTGTCGCAAGGGCCGAGTTTGTGGGAACACATCTGTCTTCAAGCCTGAGCCCACTTCCTGCTTCTGTCCCACAAACCGAAGGGAAGTTCTGAGAGAGAGACAAAGACACAACAGGTTACAGGGAAATAAGGGAAAAGGGAAAGAGCTTCATTCATCCTTCTCCCCAACCCTCTCACTACCTGGCAGGCAGGACTGTGGCAAAAGTGGCCCTGTTGCTTTGGGGCCATGGAGGGGATGGGAACCTCCTGGGTGAAGCACCCAGGAAAGGAAGAGAGCTTGTACATAGGATAGCACAGATGGGGCTTTGCCTCAGAGGGCACCTACAGCCTTTGAGATCCTTGGTCAGAGTATAAGTGATGGAGCTTAGCACCCAATTAGCAAAAGGTACTAGAAAGTTGCCTCATGGTGAGCTAGAGTGACCCTTTCTCCACGATCTTATCATCATAGAGTGAGGACCGGAAGGGACCTCAAAGCCCATCTAGCCCAACCCTCCTCATTTTACAGATGAGGAGACTGAGGCCCAGAGAGGTCATGTGATTTGCCCTCAGTCATTCAGGTGGTGGTGGTGGTGGTGCTCTGGTTCTAAATCCTGTGCTTTTTGCACCCAGTGGGGCCCCTCCCGCCTATCCTTGGTGTCCTGTACAAACTCCCATTCCCCTCTTCTCTCAGTGCTGGGGCCTCTTCTCCCCCTGCCCCCACCCAAGTACCTTGTATTGATTTCTAAAAATCTTATGCAGATACTTCTATGTACATCTGTTGTCTTTCCCATAAGAATGTAAATTCCTTGAGAGCAGGGGCTGTTTCTGTCACATAGTAGGGGCTTAATAAATGCTCATCCATCGCTCTCTCATCTCTCTGGGCCTCACCTTGCCCTGGGTGCAGAATCTGCAGCTCCGGCTCTGAGCCGCCATGTTGGGCTTGTCCCGGTACCCCTCAGGGGTACCCAGGCCTTGTTATTGAAGCTTACTTGCAAGCAGCTGGTGAAGACCCACTCAAGTGTGCAAAGGCCAAGATGTGCCTGAGGTCTATACACAGCGAGGAGCAAACAAGGTTGGCTGTTCCTGTTTTCAAGAGCAGGGGAAAGACAGAGCTCTATTTTTAGGCCTATTGGCTTCGAAGGGAGGGAGGGAGGGCCCAGGGCCTGGTTTTGCTCCATTCAGTTAGAGCAGAATCCAGAGCCATCCAGCTGGGCAGAGGAAGCTGTTTGTCAGTTGTTTTCACTAATCAGAAGGCCAGGTTTTTGTTTTTGTTTTTGCTCCAAAATAAGACTTTTCAGGCTTCAGAGGCAGAACATAAATAGTTACCAAGATGAAAATTTAATCTAAAAAATATCAAGTCTTTGTTCTATCAGTTTTCCATGAGATAACCCCAAACAGGAAAAAAGTCATAAATATACCTTTGCCAACAGCCACTGCATGAGTAAGTCGGCTTTCCACTGTAGGGAAAATCTTTTGTGCACAGACTATTGTATGGCACATGAAATAATAAACTTTGGGTGGGTGCGTCAGATTTCAGGAGCAGAGCCCAGAGATGTTGCCTGGCTGGGATTTCTGAGGCGGCCATCAGGTGTAGCACCAGGGCAGAGACCCCAAAGCCTGGCCCACACAAAGGGGCAAAAATTTTGGAAAGGGGGGAAGTGACATTTATAAAGCCTTTCACTTAAAAAGATATTTTTTAAAAGGCTTAATGTCCAATCATTAATACAAGCAATTAAATTTACTGAATATTATTTACCTTTTATCAATTAACCTCGGTTTTAAAGGAAGTCTTTCATGGCAGATAGAGGGCTGGCTTCAGAGTCAGGAGGCCCAAAGGTTCAAGCCTTACCTCTGACACATGCTGGCTGTAATTTAACCCCTCAGGGCCCCCAGGCAACTAACCCATATTTCAAAGATGATAAATTGCAGGACAGGTGCTGATATCCTTGGGTTGAAGGATTTTCCTCACTGAGAGTTCCCTGTTCCAATGAAATGCACCCCTCCATCTTCCCACCCCCACAATATTTCCAGCCACTGTTCAGCCCAGGGTGGGCTGTGCTACTCCCCTTTTCCCTCTCCCACTAAGGGGTTCCTCTCAGCTCTGGACCAATAGAGGGTTCACTACTGAGGGAAACTGGCCCCTAAAGAAAGGAAATAGTCTCTTTTTCCCAAACTGGATCTTTATGTACTCACCAGGAAGCTCTAAGTGGTTTCATATAAAGCTTAGCTCTTGTCTACAGGCTCCCCAAAAAGAGGAGTAAAAAGGTACTCAGTGTTCAATTAGAAACAAATAAATATTTGTAAAGACCTTAGCACAGTGCCTGGAACATAGTACGCACTGTTTAAATGCTTATTCCTAGGGGCAGCTGGTGGTACAGCGGATAGAGTACCAGTCCTGGAGTCAGGAGGACCTGAGTTCAAATCCGACCTCAGACCCAACACTTGACACTTGCTAGCTGTGTGACCCTGGGCAAGTCACTTAATCCCAACTGCCTTTTAAAAAATATAAAATAAATGCTTATTCCCTTCCCCTTCCTCCAACCTAGATTAAGTATAGGACAGCTATTTATTTTCTCCCTGCAAAATAAATTATATTTAAACAAACACAGAAGAATCAAAAGTATGCATTGAGACTCAAATATAAAGCAGTAACTTATAACTTTAATTCTTCCTGGAGGTTGATACTTATACTCCAAAATATGAAGCATTTTGTAGAACTGCTGAATCAGCATTTTCCCCTTGCCTTGGCCCTGAGCAGTCTTCCTCAAGACATCTTCTGACCAGGGATTGGATTCCTCTTCCTGTGGATGGTCATCTCGTTCAGTAAGTGCCATAGCAGCTTTTAGGGGCCCATCAACTGGCAAAAAGTGAGGACCCTGGAGCTCCTTTCAGTGCTGGGGAACTAACAAGCAGGAAACATCCATCTCAGGATCACTGAAGTCACCTATGCTCAGGGAAAGGAATACAACTATCTCCAACTAAATGTCCAGTAGACATTATAAACTCACCATGTCCAAAAAAACCTCATGGTCCTTCCCCCTATGCCTTCCTTCCGCTTGCCTGTCCTAATTACTATAGAAGGCACTGCCATCCTCCCAATGCTTCAGGCTCACAACCTAAGGCTCATCTTGGACTCTTTATTCTCTCTCCCCACCCTCTTCCCATATCCAATATGGTACCAAGGCCTGTCAATTTCACCTCTGCTGCATCTCTGGTCAGTTTCACCTCTGCTGCCTCTCTGGTCAGTTTCACTTTTGCTGCATCTCTGGTCAATTTCACCTCCATAGCCTCTCTCCAAAACACCCCCTTCTCTCCTTGGATGTGCCACCAACCTAGTGCAGGCCCTCATCACCTTATACATGACCCACTGCAATAGCTGCGGAGGTGGGGGTGGGTGTTTCCTTGCCTTAAGTCTCTCCCCACTCCATTCCAGCCTCCACTCAGCCAAAAAAGGGATTTTCCTAAAGCACAGGATCAACCATGTCACCCCCAATGTAACAAATGCCAGTGGCTCCCTCTTGACTTCAAGATCTAATTTAAAAAATGCTCTATTTGGCATTCAAAGCCCTTCATAACCTGTCCTATCCTACCTTTCTAATCTTCAAGGCTTACTCCTCAATACTTACTCTTCGACCCAGTGACCCTGGACTCCTGGCTATTTTGTGAACAAGACCCTCCATCTCTGGGCTCCAGATATTCTCTCTGTCCCTCCCCCAGGCCTGAAACATTCTTCCTCCCCCACTCCAACTGCTAGCCTTCCTGGCTCTCTTTCAGTCCCAACTTCTACAGGAAGCCTTCCCTAACCCCTCTTAATGCCAGTGTTTTTCCTCTATTATTTCCTTTTTATCCTGTTCATAGCTCCCTTTGTATATATTTGTTTGCATGTTGTCTCCTGTGTTAGCTTTTAAGTTCCTTGAGGGCAGGGGCTGTCTTTTGCCTCTTTTTGTATCCCTAGCGCTTAGCACAGTGCCTGGCAGACAGTAGGTGCTAATAAATGTTTATTGGTTTGTATTAGTTTGGGTTTATCCTCAGCTCCTTGAGGGAAGTCTCAATGAAAGAGACCTACACTCAACATACATTCCAGAGACAGGAAAAGAGAGAGCATAGTAGGGAGTGGAGTCACTTCTTTTTAATTTTATCATTTAAATTTATTATTTATTTATTTTAAACATTCTTTTCTTTTTACATTTTGAGTTCCAAATTCTCTCCCTCCCACTCCTTCTCGCACCTACTGAGAAGGTAGGCAATATGATATCAATCATACATATGAAATCATGTAAAACATTTCCATGTTAGCCATATTTTTTATAAAGCCAGAAAAATAAAGAAAGTAAGAAAAATTATTCTTCAATTTGCACTTGGAGTTCATCAGTCCTCTCTCTGGGGGTGGAGAGCATTTTTTCAGCATAAGTCCTTATGTCATTATATTTCATTGGGTCATCTTGGATCGTTGTTTTGTTCAGAGTAGCCAAGTCTTCCCTGGTTGATCATCATTGCAGCACTGATGTTACTATGCACAATGATCTCCTGGTTCTTCTCACTTCACTCTGCATCAGTTCTTGTAGGTCATGCCACATTTTTCTGAAACCACCCCCCTGTCATTTCTCACAGCATAGTAGCACTCCATCACAATGAATTACTCCTTTTCAAGACTGTAGAGTAGGAGTAGCTAGGTTGTTCAGTGGTTAGAGCTCTGGCCTTTGAGTCAGGAGGACCTGAGTTCAAATGTGACCTCAGACACTTGACACTTACTAGCTGTGTGACCCCGGGCAAGTCCCTAAACCCTGATTGCTTCACCAAAAAAGCAGAAAAAAAGATTGTAGAGTGAGTGACTTTGAGTGGTTTTTTAAAAATAGAGAACCTCTCATACTTTGTATTTGTGTGCCCATCACCTAGCACTATGCCTGGCACACAGTAGGCACTTAAGTGCTTGCTGATTGAAATATCTACAGAATAAATTCAAGGTAATTTTGTGGAACCGAGTGCTATCAGCCCAAGGATGAGAGAGCCGAGGTTCAGAGAAGCTCACTGAGGTCCCACAGCTAGGAAGAGATGGAGGCAGATTTAGATCCACTTCTTCTATCCTGACTCCAAGGTCAGTTTATTTAAACTTCCTGTTTCTCTCAAAGAAACCCCTAGGACTCAGGAAGAAAACATATTTGGGGTTTTCAGGGATAGAAATGAATGAAAGTCATTTTCGAAGCTAGCAGACCAACAGTCCGGGAGTTTGCTCTTGACTGGAGCCTGGACTGAGAATTTGGACACCTGGGGGCATTCAGCTGAGGTGATGGAGTCCTTGATTATAGACTTCTTTCCAGCCCCAGGAAAAGACAAGAGTTGGGAAAGGTAGCAGGGAAGGGAAGGGATGCCTGGGGAAAACAGGCTGGAAAGGAGGTATCAGTGTTGAGACCAGGATGCACTGTGACATGGGGCCAGCAGAAGATCAGAAGGCACAGGGCCCACAGGCTGTAGAATTGTCCTGGGGGGAAATATAGCCCTCAAGTGGTATCTCCCCTTAGCCAGGTCCCTGGCTGTTCCCCCTTAATTACAGCTCCACTCTTGAAGGTATTCACAGGGAACAATGCCTTTTCAAAGCTTTTCCTAAATATATATCAAGCTTAGCTCTGAATACCCCAGGTGGTAAGTAATTATTGAGGGGAAGGAAGAAAAGAAGGAAAGAAGGAAGGGGGAGGGAGGGAAGAAGGAAGGAAGGAAGGAAGGAAGGAAGGAAGGAAGGAAGGAAGGAAGGAAGGAAGGAAGGAAGGAAGGAAGGGGGAGGAAGGAAGGAAGGAAGAAAAGGGGGAGGAAGGAAGGAAGGAAGAAAAGGAGGAAGGAAGGAAGGAGGAAGGAAGGAAAGAAAAAAGGAAAGGAACATTTTATTAAGTTTATTAAGCACCTCACACGTACCAGGAACTGTGCTGAGTGCTTCCCAAAAATCTCATTTGAGCCTCACAACAACCCTTACAAAGAACTGCTATGATACCCCCATTTTACAGTTGAGGAAACTGAGGCAGACAGTGGTTTAAGTAACTTGCCCAGG